CCTGTGATTATCTACATATCGATAGCTAGCTATATACTAAAGTTATCATTAGTTTGTAGGTGCTTGCTTGCTTTTGTAGTCACCGCCTCGCGGGTCGCTGAATGCTGCTCATGAATATGAGCCTCTAGCATGGCTTGAAACTAGTCGAGTTCCTCGTCAAATCATTACGTGAGTAAGCCGAAAACATAATAATTTATTTAAATCTTGTTTATAAATCAGTTCATCAGCAGGTCATCAGCATCAATGTGTCACTCAGTAGTGGCTGTCATTCACTCAGTAGACATTGCGTGACTGTCACTGGGTGCTATGATGGACACCACTGGTGATCAGTCATCATCAGTACCAGCTCTGTTATTCGATGTACGAGTCATATTTAGTGTGATTTTGCTGTTACTTACTCAATAGACTGTGTCAGTCACTGGCTATGTTACAACATAAATACACTCATCATAGTACCATCATCACCAGCCTATAAATACCCACTGCTGAGCAAAGCCTCTTCTCACACGGAGAAGGTTTGAGCATTAAGCACCACGCTTGCTCATTGCGGGTTGGCGATTACAAACTTATAATTAGAAATTATAAGCCCAGGTTTCCGCGCGATGTTTTTCTTTACCGTTTGTCAGTGGTGTCTGAATAATCTTAGAAAGTACATATAACTCGGAAAAAGTCACATTGGTACTTGCCGTTGCGTTAGTAGGTTTCGAACCCTCCGGGCCACCACGACATTTCATCATAGTACGTCATATGGAGAAAAGAAAAGTTTTAATTACGTGTGAAGATCTACTGGTACTCACGAATAATCAGTATCTCGTGTTAATTCAGTAATCGTTTTTTTAAATGTGTCACTCAATAGTGGCAGTCACTCACTCAGTAGACATTGTCTGCCAGTCTGTCACTGGGTGATCTGATCGCCATCACTGTTTGCCACTAATCACCAGCACTTTGTCATTTGGCAACCATTTGCATTCATTTAAAATTATGTATTTTTATAATAACTATCGTGAGATATACGTATCAGAGACATTGTAGAACATACTTTTTTAAAAAAAGAGTAACGAATGGAGTTTCTTGCTCCTTCTTCTCCATTCGAATCTACGTTTTGGAATGAGCACCAAGCTTCACCTAATTTCACTGACGGACTGACTGACAGACTATTATTTATTTTGTATTTGTTGACGTTTCAAAAGTACCAAACTATGGTTTAATTGAAATAAATGCTTTGACTTTGACTTTGATACCTAATTAACTAAAATCGCGGGTTACTCACGTGAATATACTGAGAAAAGCTATTCACGATCCACGCCACGAGCCACGATCGCGCACGCTGCTTATGAGGAAGAACCCCTCTGTGGTTCGAAACTAGTAGAGCTTTTCTCAGTATATTCACTTGAGTAACCCGCGATGTCAGTTAATTTAAAATAATTTCAGTGAATCATCAACAGTGTCACTCAATAATGGCTGTCACTCACTCAGTAGACATTGTATGAGTATCTGTCACTGGGCGCTGAGATAGCCATTACTGGTAATCACTAATCATCAGCGAGCTAAGTCAATCAATATAGTATGTACTTCATGGGCATCAGTAATCATTTCAATCATCAACAGTGTGTCACTCAGTAGTGGCTGTCACTCACTCAGTAGACAGTGAAATTCTGTCACTGGGTGTTGTGACATCAGTTTCCAAGTGATATTTCTACTAAAACACATAACAGCAGAGGTGCACATTACGGCACTTAATGCCACTGTACAATGTAACACCCACTTTTCACTATTTATGTTACGAGTCCCATGTGATAGGGGGTGAACCTGTTGCCATATACCTATTTATTTTCTACTTATATTATGAAGATTTTTTTGTTTGTCTGTATTTTCTGGCATTTGTGTAAGTTCTGCAGTTGAGCGATTCATATTTTGTTTTCGGCTTACTATATAATTAATAATCAAGTTTATTGTTTTTTTCAATTTCAGGCTTTTTTAAAAAAAATACGATTCATTTATGTTCTTTTTATGGAATAGGAGGCAAACGAGCAGACGGATCACCTGATGGTAAGCGATCAGCGCCGCCCATGGACACCCGAAACACCAGAGAAGTCACAGGTGCGTTGCCGGCCTTTTAAAAAGGAATATGCTCTTTTCTTGAATGTTTGAAGGTCGTATCGGTTCGGAAATACCGCCGACGACAGATCATTCATATGTCACTCAGTAGCGGCTGTCATACACTCAGTAGACATTGTGAAACTATCTGTCACTGGGTGCTATGATGGACACTACTGGTGATCATTAATCATCAGTTCCTGCTGTCTCCATGATCTTTTTCACCATCCTCTTTTAAATTTTAAAGATCCAGTCAAGATAGGTGACAGTTAACGACATTTTGGTTTCTTTTAAGTGACACCTAACAGTACACGTAAGGGGTCAGTTTAGCTGGTCCGATAAGCTGAATAATTTAAAATTTTAAAGAACCCCTAAGGTAACACCTAACAATACAAGTAAGAGGTCAGTTTAGCTGGTCCGTTAAGCAAAAGAAATTTCAATTTAAAAGAACCCCAAAGGTAAGATAGGTGACACTTAACAACATTTTGGTTTCTTTTAAGTGACACCTACCAACAAGTAAGAGGTCAGTTAAGCTGGTCCGTTAAGCTAAAGAAATTTCAATTTAAAAGAACCCCAAAGGTAAGATAGGTAACTCTTAACGACATTTTGGTTTCTTTTAAGTGACACCTACCAACAAGTAAGGGGTCAGTTTAGCTGGACCGATAAGCTGAATAATTTAAAATTTTAAAGTCAAAGTCAAAGCATTTATTTCAATTAAACCATAATTAGGTACTGTTGAAACGTCAACAAATACAAAATAAATAATAGTCTGTCAGTCAGTCCGTCAGTGAAATTAGTTGAGCTAGGTAAAGAAACCCAATGTATGATAGGTGGCGCTCAATGATATATTGTTTATCACTTAAGCACTCCTAAGAGTTCTTAAGTCAACTTAGCTAACTAAGAGATGGTTTTGGGATATTTAGTGAAAAAGGAACAGGGGAAGGTAGAGTGAACCACATCACAATCCAGATCACCTATGCGCTGGACTGATCAAGTCAAATGGCAACGTGAAACCCAGAGTCAGACTGCGCCAGACAATCCTCAAACAGAGAGAGATGCCGGGAGATTGTGAGGAAAGCTGTATCGGCTTCCAACACAAATACGGCAGTCTCAACGTGACCACGACCGCTCTGACAATGGCGAAACGACAGAGAAGAAATAAAAACGGCTATGTGTTGCTGAGATCATCAGTCCTCAGTGTGATTAAGTTGTCACTGACTCAGTAGACAGTGTGTCAGTCTGTCACTGGGTATGTTACAACATATATACACTGATATACTCATCATAGTACGTCACGTCGTTGAGTGAAGGTAAAGAAATTTCTGAACATTAAGAATGTTACCAATTAATAAATTTAAATGTAAAATGTTTACTTGGCTATTGGACATGTGTTTTTATTCCGTTAATGAATTTTTAAATCACCCTTCTTGACATTGTAATTTATATTTAATGCTATTGGAAATATTGACATTATGATTAATATGTTTGACACTAGAACCAGTAACTATGACATATATGTATAATTTTGTATTTTTTTTTTGTGTATTTTGGTATTATCTGTACTCATTTTTGACATAATAATTTGGACAAAACATGTATTCTTTTTCAATGAATTTAAATTGATTATCTTTCAATTATCTTATAATTGTATCAAATGAGAATTATGATTGGCATGGACTTAACTTGTTTAAATTTTCTACACCAGAAATGGTAGTATATGTGATTCTATGTTTAGTTTAAGATCTCAGTGTACCATATACTTAGAAATAAACATATCCTTATCTTTATCTTTATCTGTCCCGTGAGGACCTGCGTCAGGCGGTAGGTGAGGACGCCGTAGCGTCTCTAAAGCCACTCCCAAAGAGGGGACTTACCGCTGCAATGGCAACGAGCCCAGCCCTCGGTTGCGACAGTCGTTGCTGCCATACATTTAAGTCGGCTAAGATTTTATTATTACTTACTTTGTTCGTCAAACAGTCTTGGAAGTCCTTCTTCATAACGGACACGGAGACTCTGTCTTGAGGGCGCTTCGGTCCGCTCACAGATGTCACTACAGTCGACAGGTCTAGTTCTACCACCTGGAAAATAAGACGTTTCATATGAATAGTTTAGAAAATCTACAGGTTGGGTTTCTAATAGCGCTAATCTCCGGAACGGCTGGTTCGAATCGTATAATTATTTCTTGTGTCGGATAGTCCATTTATCGAGGAAGGCTATAGGCTATAAAACATCACGCTACGAGCAATAAGAGCCGAGCAGCGGGTGAAACCGTGCGGCAATATAGTTTGTCTATTTAATACTAGCTACTTCCGCGCAATTTCACACGCTCTGCTTAGCTCCTATTGGTCGTAGCGTGATGTTTTATAGCCTATAGCCATCCTCGATAAATGCGCTATCCAACACAAAAAGAATTATTCAAATCACACATGTAGTTACGGAGATTAGTGCGTTCAAACAAACAAACAAACAAAAAAACAAACTCTTCCGTTTTATACCTCTATAATAGTATAAGATTCACGAATGTTTGAGGAACTAACAACCTTAAAACTACTAGTTTACTACTAGGGGACTAGGGAGGGGGTAATTGGGCCTCCGGTAATCTCACTCACACGACGAAACACAACGCAAGCGTAGTTTCACGTCGGTTTTCTGTGAGGCCGTGGTATCACTCCGGTCGAGCCGGCCCATTCGTGAAAGCCATTCGGCCCATTCCAGCGGCAGCCAGTTGCCCAGCCACTGCGCTAACCATGTAGTCTATAAAGTCGCGGAGAACCTAACGGGTAACCGGGGCTCCGGCTCGACGTGCAGGAGAAGGAACGGGGTGGTTTTTAGTCAGTAAGAGTCTGACACTCCCTCCCGCCTCACCCAGGCGGGAGCAGGCATTCGATGATTTTCCCCCCTTAAAAAAAA